GGAAACACTGTCATAGACAACAATGGTCATTACATTGTAGACTGAAATTGCATTTTAATAAAGTTATAAAATTTTGAAAATTTTGCGCAGAGTGTTGCAAGACTTTCTTTCAAACCCAATACATTGGAAACCTATCACCATATATGGGGGTCTGAATATAAACCATATATGATTCCATATTTATTAAGAATGGCCAAAACATGATACGGACTGAACTCTTTCCAAACATGCTAAATTCAGTACTGTACAATCCTATACATACGCCTGTATTTGGAATTTCCGTAAGGGCAGTGTTGCAAGTATCAAGGCCCACGCGTCTACTGCGCTCTATGAGTGAAAAGAATCTGGTATTTTTTGGTATAGTTATACGTTTTCCTTATTAGGGGCCATTTGAATGCAAGGTCTTGACGATGTCAGGATGCTGACAGTTTTTCTTCGTTCCCGAACCCTTCTTAACCCAGCGCTGCGAGTCCTTTCTCAACGGAAACCAACATCAAGGTATGCCTACCTCCGAAAAAAAATTCTTCATGCAAAAAGGCCTTCTGAAGTGACAAGTTTCGCACATCCCACTATGCCAGCTTGCTCTCGCTTAACCGCCGCGCCCAAAAGCAGGAGGTCGTGCATGAATTCCCATTTTAAGAAGTATAAATATTTCGTCTCTTCCCCTTATCGGGATGAAAGAGAAGTAAGTAGAGTCTGACCGTCTGAGCCTCCCCAGGCACGGTGATATGAGGGAAAGTGGTCCTGGCGACTTCAAACATCTGCCCGGACAGCAAAGTGGCATCGGATACCCCGGCCAACCGACGCATGAACCACAGCCACGACGTCGATGCCGCCTTGTAGATGGGGCAGTACGCCAAGGGCATTTTCCTAATGTCCAATGTATTCAATATTATTCAGTATTCAATATTGGGATATTTAAAATACAACGTGCAATTTCAACAAATGAAATTTATATTTTGGCTGGTATCTGGTTGGGAGACAGAGATGATAAAACGTACGGGTAGAAGAAGAAGACACTGAAGGAGGGAAACGGCGCATCCCTGGTCGGGTCTGTGGGTCCGGGTCTTCGCTTGTGCTTCCCGGGGTCATACCTCCGACACGTTTCTGCTATCCGCTCTCGCCTTTCCTTCGTTCTCGGGTCTATGTCCTCCGCCTGGACGAACAAAGCATAAATGCCAACTCACCTTTTTAACGAAAAGTAGAGATATGATCCTGAGGTTCAGAGCCTCAACTAAAAACGGAAATAATGGCTGCATTGATTTTGGCAAAAGAATGATGTATCTTTTCGGTGACAGGCGCAGACCCATGCCAAATGTGCAAATTTCCGGAACAAGTAAAGTCTTTTCAAGGCAAAAAGCCTTTCTAAGGAGAGGGAATGCTACTAGGAAAATTCAGTATATGATGTAAGGTCACGATCAATAGTAAAAATGGATTAGCACTCTTCTTGTGTTCTAGTGAGGTAACCATGAATTAATATGGGATGAAAATGAAAAAATCCCACTCTTCCCAACTTGGACAATTTATGTCATTCAACACATTATACGACTTTATATTAATGATTGCTTGATCGTACATAAATTTCGTCGAATGGAATGTTCTGTTTGTCCCATCGATATGTCTACATAACTTTTTTTTGTCCCCATGTCCCTACGTAGAGGCTCGAGTGCCAAGGAATCTCACTAACCTACTCGATTCACTGTAACAGGATGTCAGATCTCACGACGGACAAAAATGCCTGAAAAACGCATTATTAACCACCAATGTTTTCTAAAAGTATTGTACCAACCATTATTTCCCACAAATTAGACGTGGCAAACGTCGGCACACAATCATCCCCAGAAGTTGGGGGACGTGATCGTGGGAACTCAACTATCGTTCAGTCAACGGAGAATTACCGGTTGGTGATCAAGCAGCGCTTTTACAATGATCAGACAGCGTGGAATGCGACTGCATTTGCGATTCCGGTATTTAACCATGCGGAACGCTCACGCTCAAATACTCTGCTAGTGCGATCTGAGAACGAAAGCGAAGTTCGACCCAGAAGCAAATTAGAGGAAAGGGCCTTCCCCTGGGATCATGGGAGAAAAAAAAAAAAACCGTTTCGAGTGAAAGGGCCTAAAGATAAGGCCGATCCAACAGCATCATTTTTCCTCACGACCAGAGAGAAGAAATGGAACGAAACCCTATCAGAGAAGAACTCGTGAAAAAGAAGAAACAACTCACCTGAAAAATCCTCTTCGCTGGAGAACTTCTGGTCGATGGCCGAGCTGGTTCAAGCGATTCCGCGTCCACTTCCTCCACCTGAAGTTCCCGAAATGGTCTTGCGACCTCGAAGACGGGCGCCACGAAGGGAACGGGAAGATCCGGCCAGGTCAGGAGGAAAAGGAAGAAGAAAGACCCGAAGACCACGAGGAGGATTTTCTTCAGCTTCCGATGCGCTGCCATACCGAATCGGTGCAGCTACTACGGAGTTCCTTGGATAAGGTTCGGCTCTATGGTGCATATAGCTCTCATTGATTCTCGTATGCAAAAGTTGACAGGCATATCAATCTGGGCAGCCCCGTACCCCATGCTGTGAGGGACTCAAAGCCCTCATCATTAGCATCGCCACGGGCACAAAAACCTTGACGCCTCCGCTCCAGTTCTTCCTCGCATCCGATTGAATTAAGGATCTAAGCTCAAGGTGGGCCGAAAAAAAACCGGACAGTTTTCAACGGAACACTATACTACACTCACAGCATATATTTTAATGCGATTTGCGGCACTTGAAAGAGGAATGAATAAGCCTTACAACGGTGCATTTGCACTTAAAATATATTCCATTGTTTCCGAAATTCGAGAGCTCATATAAACACCAATAAAAAATTGCGTTCCCCCAGGACAGGGATGGACATGATGGACAGGGATGGACATGATGGACAGGGATGGACAGGATGGACTTCATGACTGAAGGTCACTTGCCGTCTCTCTCTGAGAACTCGGCGAAGCGGGTCTGGTTTGCCGTTCGTGTAGACTCTGGAATTTCTGAAACTGTTGAAGGTATTTGGTAAGGGGTTGAATTATGAGGTACGAAATGATTAATGCAATAATGATTTTCGGTCCTGCTTGGGGCCAACGAAGCCAATGCTTTCCAGGTAGTAATGCCAATATAGGTCCATATTAGGTGTCACTGAGGCTACGTTCTCGATCGACATTGCAGCAACTTGAGTTGAACAGTCCTGAAACGTTACTGCAATATTTGAAAACGTAACGTTACTGCAACATAAGAAAACTTATATGTAACGTTGACGTTTTGGACATTTACACTTTGAAGCAATATCGATCATCAACATTCATAAAACGTTGCTGGAATGTCTTATGTTGCTTGGGATCATATTTATTATCAGATAATCATATTTAATAATAAATATGATCCCAATCAATCCCAAATATGATCATAATCAAGGACTTGGAGATATGCTCTGGCCTTGACATTATGAAGCGAATGCGGTCATAGGCCAGGATTCCAAAACCATTCTTGAATTTTAAATTTCGTTTTAAAAAAAAAGGGCGAAACAACTTGGTTCTTAAAGAAGAATTTTGCTCAGCAAAGCTCGCTAATTTTTGCAGAAAAATCTGGTGCGCGCAGAAGACCCGTTTCCTTTCTCTGAAGCTTATCACGTTGCGATCTTTTCCTCCGTCGATCCTGTCTTTTTCGGTCGTGAAGAACGCGGAAATGTCGGAAAGCGAGTCGTTGCACAGCAAGTCTTTTTTTTTTTTTTGGTAGGATCCCTGACAGGACTCCTACGGATTTTCGGCCTATTGGTTTTCGTTCTCTTGAAAAAAAAAATTATTTTCGTCCTGTCTATTTTTCTCAGAGTAAAGTAGGGGAAACACGTCCCCTTATTCAGAAATACTAGAGTGCCTCAAAAATATATGAAAAATAATAAAACAATATAAAAATTTGTTTATGAATGACCCCCCTCCCCTCCCCCCCTCCCCCAAAGAAGAAATTGCAAGGGTTTCCATGACGAAACTCGGCATGGTCCCTTGCAGGTTCTAAGTTGGACTGAACAAAGCATGCAACTTCGACCGTCTCGGACCATTTTACCATTCTGGTTTTTGCCCCTGCAATCTCGACCCCCTCAAAGGAGATCGTGTCCTTTGCTTTCTTCCCTCATTTCATGCGATTTCCCCCTCGTTTCACCCTCGTACAGGAAGTTTCATTTAAGTCGCAACCCAAAGTCCGACAGCAAAAAAAAAACAAAAAAAAAACAAACGAGCTGTTTGATGGTTTTCGTCTGTCAGGAAGAATATTACTGGAATCTACAGAGCAGCAGATGCTGAAAATGTCCACCATCTTCTCGAAGAAAAGACATTTTGTACGTGATCGTTGCTGGATTGCGTTTTAAATTGAACGCACTATAGAAGGTCTCTGAATTACGTTCTGTTTAATGAGGAAAAAGTAATAAGGAAGATATATAACTTCTTTTTTTGACTCATATATTTTTTCTAGATAAATTTACCATTTGTGATGAACTTTCGAGAGAGGCCTGGCTTCGACAGAAGTTTCTTTTGCAATTAATTCTTTTAATTAAGAATTATCTTAATTAATCTTAATGCTTTTAGGGTGAGAAATTCAGCATTGCGGACGGAAATCCGGAGTGGCGCCGCGAGAGTCGGCGGAGAGACCGCGATCAAAAGCATTCAGGAAGTGAATCTCGCTGCCGCGGGCCGCGCCTCGCGACCACGAAGCCGCGCGGATGGAAGATTGCGACGGCAATGGATTCGCCGTCTTAACACGTTGGCGGGCGAGAGGGCCGTAGCAGTCATCCTTACAGGCCTTCTGTGGGACAAGACGGCAATAGTCGTCTATATATATCTGATAGGACTGTATCAGTGGGTACATGTGCAGGACGTAACTGATTTGACATGGAATGTTATCACTGAGCCCATTTGTAAATAAAGCATGAGTGTTTTTGGGATCTCAGGCTAAAATGCAGGCGTCCACCGACGCGTTAAGCGAGGCTTCCTATCCGCCCCACTAGGACATCCGCGTTCGCGCTCATTCTCCATCGGGAGACGAAAGCCGCTGGAGCTTCGCCGGTCTCCGATGCTCTGCGTCTCTCCAGGCATCCGCTTTGCACGGTTTCTCGGGCAAAAAATTTAATTGTCGAAATGGCGACCAGTGAAATCAGATTTTATTATAAATAAAATAAATTTTATTTTCTTGCGCAAAAAAATTCCCAGCAACCCATCGAGAATAGCGAGGTTTTCCCGAAAACTGTGGTAAATCCAAAATTTCGTCAATTGGTAAAGTGCGCCTTCATCTTCGTCTACGTTGAAGGTGCACAGTCAATCGTCCACGTGGTCAGGCCAAAAAATATTGGCAGGGCATGTGTGCGTTAACAGGTTGATAGGAATAGAACATATCACTTCCTATTAATAATAATATAGTTGGATCTCAGGGTAGCGCGAAAATGGAAGCAGCTTTCAGAAATAATTTGCGTTAATAAATAACTTGGAATCTCTTATAATATCTTCAGACAATGATGGAAGGAGAATCTGTCTGAATTCTGCCTGGTCTCTTTCCTCTTCATATCACTGGAAAGCTCACCAATTTGGGGGTGAAAAGTTTCATTTCGGCAGTGCGCAGCACCCTTAACGTAAAAGTTTCGGCTGAGCGGGATTTTAAGGACGGGAATAATGAACGCATCCTCCGGTCGTTTCGATTCTTATCACAGTACCGTTTCCTACGATCACGAAGAGGTAAGGTCAGGGAAGAGTTGAAGGTAAGGTTGAACGGAATACTCGAACATCTCGAAGTCGATCCGATAAGTCTCGTAGAGCCTGAGCATAAGATCCCTGGAGAGGGTTGAGAAATACTTCCGTGCCACGTCCCCGGTAGGTCCTGTCGACGTAACGTGCTTCCGTGGAACGTCCTCGTAGTCCNAGGCCAAGCGCTCCTTCCTGCGAGACAATATTATGCAATCTCCATTATTCAATATTCAATTCGCAAAATCCAACATGCACTTTTGACTCGTATCCGGCGTGGAGGCAATCGGATTTAGGAATCGTACGGGTAGAAGTAGAAGATGTGGAAGTTGGGGAACGGCGGCTCCCTCCTCCGATCGGGGAGGGAGCCGCCGGTCCGGAGTCCGGGTCTCCGGACTCCCCGGAGACCCGGACTTGCTTGTACTTCCCGAGGTCATGCCTCCGACATGTTTCTGCTATCCGCTCTCTCCTTCTCGCCGTTCTCGTGTCTATGTCCTCCGCCTGGATGAACAGGGCGTGGAGAAATGCCTTTTCGCTTTTTTAACGAATGAGTGAGGTTTGACATTTTTGCTGCAATGATATGAGAAAATGTGAAATATATCTCTACTGTAAGTTCGAAGACTCTCACCTATGTGAAATCATCCATTGCCAGCCGTTTGACTCCCCAAAATCGATATGGAAATGATTTTCCTAGGGGTTTTCCGAGTGCCGCATTTTGATCTCATACCCATCGGCCGGTGCCGATTGTGGTTTGTAGATTGAGATAAATGTAACATGAAATCGCACGATAATTCAAATAGGCCTCTTTGGAAGCCATGCGATATTTTAATGAGCCTCCTTAAAACGATAGAGAACACTTTCAGTCCTTTCCAGCCATTCATGTCCAGTCTGTTTATGTGTCCGTCGATGGTGAGTTTCTTACCTTTTGATGCTGTTAACCCTATGATGCATAATTTTTTTTTTAGCGTACAATGGAACTCGGTTATAACGAAACCTCGGTTATAACGACGATAGCGCCAGGTCCCGGCATAGAGCCCATAAGGCATGTTACATTTTACCTCGGTTATAGCGAACTCGGTTATAACGAAGTCCATTGCTTACTCCAAGCCTTGCTCACGCCCAATCTGTTATGATCTTTGTCACTATCGCTGTCATGGTCATTGTCGTGGTCGTTGTCATAAACGATGTGACTTCGGAGCGATTATCGCTTCGTCTTTCGGTGCACTTTTCTTAGTTTAATTTAAGTTTGAAAATTTCCATTCGGGCGAGATCCAATGAGTAATAATTTTATTATTATAATATTATCGTTATAGAATGAGTAAGGGAGACACGAAGAACCCATAATTCGCGATTTTCTTCTCCCCCCCCTAATACGACTTGATCGCAGTAACCCATTCGCATCGATTCTGCACGGAGCAGTTGGTAATTGGGTGTTGAAATAAGCGATCTTGGGAAAATGCGTTCTTCTTTCGACGTGAGCTTCCAAAAAAGTCCACTTATTGATGATCGAGCTTTTATGGATATAGACAAATTTCGGAATGTCAGTGCATTTGAAATTCTGATCCGCGTGTTACGGGTAGAACCACACAAGTTTTCATAGCATAAGCAAGAAGAGTGAAATTCACCCCCCCCCCCCCCCAGCGTGGGGGGGGGGGATGAAGCAGTTTAAGGAGGTATGGGCCTTGACATAGGGTCGATTCTGAAGGATGCTCTCACTGTGTGTGATATGAGGGAAAGAATAATCCGAGGGGTATTCTAAGGTATGAAGAGAAAAGACAAAAAAATGAAAACTCACGTGCGGTGAATCCGGAGGAATTTCATTCGACGACTCAGTCGGTTCGAGCGATTCGGCGCCCACTTCTTTCACCCGAAGTTCGTGAAATGGCCTCACGGCCTGGAAGACAGGCACAAGGAGTGGGACGGACGGATCCGGCCAAGTCGGACGGAGGAGGAGGAAGATGGACCCGAGGACCGTGAGGCGGAGAAGGAGTTTCCTCCACCTCCGATTCGCTGCCATGCCGATTACATATACGTTGCAGACACGTTTCATGACATATGTTCCTGCAATGTTGATGTGAAACGTTGCCTCACTGGCACCTAATCTGGACCTACATTGGCATTACTACCTGGAAAGCACAGGTTTCACTGGCCCTGAACTGGACCGATATATTTTTTCATTCAGACA